TTTTATAGGCACAGTCACGTGACCGCTGCCGTTCGCGCGATGGCTCGGCGTTGAGCATGCGGTGCGTCGTCAAAGGGGGGGGGGGGGGACCGGATAGCTATCGCACACGTGTCGCGTAGTCCCATATACATCTTTTTGTGTACGGTGCTAATTGTAACTTTACCAAGATTGGACTAAATCTCTTATCATTTTGATGATTTCAAAACCTTGCAGTACACTCCAATACTTATACGCTAGATGATCAACCTTTTCTTATCGATTCCACAACGTTTCTCTCACAGTGCAATCACATGACCAGAACTACTGGTCTTTACCTTCAAAGGATCTTTATATTATTTTTGCAATTTCAACCGCCCATATTCTATTCTCAGAACAAACTATCGAATATCAATACACCAGAAGCATAGGTGGGGGAAATAAAATATTGTGACCTGAGATATCTTATTTGAAAATACATGTCTTGGATGAATGTTCTGTAATGTTCACATAAAGTTATGGTCACAACCCCAAAAGGTAGCCTGCTAGGCTGCCGGGCGGCGAGCTTTTAGCCAATTTTGCTCGGGCACCGCTTGTTTTTAGAGCATCGCTCGATCGCCGCCGAAGTTTTAGGGCGGAGTTAAAATTCGGGCGGCGCCTGCTCACTTTTCACTCGCCGCCCAAAATACACTTGGTGCCCGGACGGTCGATGCCTGGGCACCGAACTCATGCCTAGGGGAGTGGAGGGGGTCAGGGGGCCCGCTTTTGTTTTGTAAAACCGGCCCGTGGATCCGCGCCTGTCTGCCACTGTGTTGTAAGATCACTTTTAGATTAGGAGAAGTGTATTCTTTAATGAGCATTTTAAATTGAATGGAACGTCTCAACTCAGTAAGCATGGTTGAGATTTATAAAAGTTGTTTTTACAAAGAATATTCTGGTGAATAGCAATGCTTATTCAAACAAATATTTGCATCAATTTGAATCACAATCATTATTTGTCGCTTAATCCCTTTTAATGACCTTGTTTTCTTTCTCGTTTGCAAGGGGAGAAGAAGCAATGTCACGTTAAAGACATCATAAAGATCAGTGTTTTTATACGTATAATTATGTTATATACACAGGCCCCGCGGAATGTTTATCAAAGTGAGGGGCTAAAGTATTTACGATCAGGTAGAGCGGAGCGTAATTTGGTGTAGTGGTTCAGGGGGCGGAGCCCCTGGAAGCTCAGGCGTTTTAGGCATTTAATGACGGTCATTATCATCATCATTATCACCAACTTCAGGTGGCGCTGTAAAGCGCTGCTGTGGCCTTCACGGGTTTTTTTTTCTCCATGATTCCCTTTCTGATGGTCAAGTCTGTTCCAATCTTTTCCAGGACCCACACATTTGTCTTTTTATCTTTCCATGACACCTGCAACAACCTCCTGTATACCACAACATTTCAAAGGCATCAACTCTCTTTCTGTGATTCTTTGTCATGGCCCAGGACTCACTTCCGTAGGTAGCAATAGAGAAAGAAATTGCTTGAAGCAGACGAACCTTCAGACTCTTCCAGATGTGGAACATATTCTGTACTGTTGATCTTGACATTGCCATCCTTCTTCTTATCTCTGTGGTGCTCTCTCCTTTGTTAGTGATAATTGAACCCAATTACTCAAACCGATTTACTACTTCAATCTTATTTCCAGCTACGGTGAAGTCAGTATTATCATTATTTCTATCGACAATCATTATTTTTGTCTTTTTGGTGTTTAGAAGAAGGTCTTTCTCTTCACTTGCCCGTTCGATTCAATAAATCAATCAGCTCCTCTCTGTTGCTGCAAACGAGAGTGGTGTCATCAGCATTACCTTAGGTTTGTGATCTTTTTACCTCCAAACTTAACTCCCTCCTTGAATCCTTACAGAGCATTTCTCATAATGTCCTCAGAATAAATATTAAAAAGGTTAGGAGACAGTATACAGCCTTGGCGTACTCCCCTGCCAATTCCAAACAACTAAGTATTGCCGTTACTGGTTCTCACTGTTGCTTCTTGGTCACGATAGAGGTTTTTGATCATTTCGATGATGTGACTTGGGAACCCCATCTTTGCCATTGTATTCTACAATTGAGAGTGGCTCACACAGTCAAATGCTTTGCTATAATCTATAAAGCACAAATAGAGGGGATGTTTGTGTTCTCTGCATTTCTGAAATATGTTTCGAATGTTGACAATCTGTTCTCTTTCCCCTCTACCTTCACGGAACCCTGCTTGCTCATCTGAGATCTCGGCTTGCAGTTTGATTTTCATTCTTCTGCTAATCACCTTAAGAAGTATTTTGCTTGCATGACAAATCAAGCTGATCGTTCGGTGATTTGCACATTCTTTCAGATATCCCTTCTTTGGCAATGGTATAAAAACAGCTCTACACCAGTCCTTGGGCCACTCCCAACTATTCCAGATATTGCAACAGAGACGTGACGCCACACCAGGTCAGTACCTTCTTCATCTCTAGCCTTCCACATCTCGGAAGTCAAGTTGTCAAAGCCTGGGGACTTGCCATCCTTCAGTTGTTTCATTGCAAGCTCCACTTCTGATCTTAATGGAGGGGGCTTTATTTCATCACTTTCTTCCCACTGAGTGTCAACTTGTTCCTGTGCCGCAAACAGCTTGGTACAATACTGCACCCATCTTTCCTTAATGTCTTCATTCTCCGTCAGTGTTTTGCCATTTTCATCATTAATTACATCCAGTCTTGGGATTCTTTTCTTTGTGATTTCTTTCACAATTGCAAATGCTGCCTTAGAGTTGTTCTTGTGACGCTCTAGGTCTTCACACTTCGCCTCGATGTATTTCCTTTTTTCCTCCTTCACACTACTTGTAACCGCCTTATTGGCCCGAATTCACAAAGGAGGTTTAGATTTAACCCAGGCTAAATCGCGTCATAATACGTCATAACCCCGAGCTTTAGACCATGGGTCATTATTTTGGTATTCACAAAGGAAGTTTAGATTTAACCCAGGCTAAATCGCGTCATATTACGTCATATTTTTAGCCTGCTCAGAAGGGTGGTTTAAACAGCGGGCTAAATCTAACCCACGGTTTAACCCACGGTTTAACGCGTCATATGACGTCATACCAGCGAGCTTTGGCTTTTTAGCGCAGACGACCGTACAAATTTTGTTGACAAATTTGTGGTGAAACAAAGTGAAGAGACCTTCACAAAGTTGCTGTTTTTTCAACTTTCATAGCTTACATTGTAAGTATTTTTTAGTTATTCACAACATATTTGTACCATATTCTCAGTTCTGCTACAATGGAAGCCCAATTGAACATGATTTATAAGCGTAAAAAGTGCACGAATAATAATCTTCATCGTAAGTTGCACAGCCTTTGCGAACATTGTCGCAGAACCTAACGCAGCTCGGACCCATGCGTGTGTATTTGTGTTGTGTTGTTTATGTAATCCTGCGAGGCAAGGCAATTTCGCAATAACTGCGAATGTGCCAGCTAACAATACGAAATTAATTATAACATCACACAATTGTGTGATTCGGGAAGAAAAATATGTTAATCATGACATTTGAGACATTCCTGGCCTCGGGGGGGGGGGGGGGGGTAGCGACAGTTCCATTTGTATTTTCTGCTCTGCTGATGCTGCTTCTAACGGAGAACGAAAAATGCCGAAATGAAAATTCTTCCACACTGATGGATTTTACTAGTCTAGTCTAGAGTCTAGGCCTACTATATACAGAGGCCTGGTCTAGACCTAGATCTAGACTAGTCTCTAGTACTACTAGGCCTACACTGACACTCAGTACTGACTGAATAAGACCTGAGCTTGAGCTCGAAGTCGGTGGCAGTGAGACACGCAAACACGACGTGGGCCTAGCCTAGGCTAGATGATAGATCTAGGCCTAGATCTATCTAGATCTAACGTTAGTCCTCAGTTTCAAAAAAAATTAGTCAAAGCACGCCAAACCATGGCATGAATTTATTAAAAGTATTTTGTAAATTATTGTAAAAGATGCAGATCTAGATCTAGAGGTCTAGAATCTAGACCTAGATGATAGATCTAGATCTAGATCTAGTCTAGATCTAGATCTAGATACTAGATCTAGACCCTAGATCTATTCTAGATTTAGAAATTGAAATGGAATAAAATATTTTTCAAAATAGACCTAGGGTCTAGACCTAGATCTAGTCTAGGTCTAGTCTAGATCTAGGTCTAGGTACTATTCTAGTACTCTAGACTAGATCTAGTCTAGATCTAGAACTAGTAGACCTAGGCCGTAGGGTCTACCGGTATAGACCTCAGGCTCTAGATCTAGAATCTAGTCTAGACTCTATGTGGTCTAGGCTAGACCTTTCTAAACCTACTTTTCATAAATTCATGCCAAGCCCGCGCCGATGGTTTGTTGTGTTGTGTCTTGAGAAGTTGAGTGTTTGTGTGTCTCACCGTCACCGAGTTCGAGCACAAGTCTGAGCTGAATGAGAGGTACTTTGTCTTTAGGCCCATCTAGATCTAGATCTAGACTAGACTCTAGTACTGACTGTCGAATGTCTCTACACTCAACTCCTACAAATTTATACTAGGTCTACATCATGATCATGTCTAGGCCTAGAGTCTACATCAATACATTGTTGTACTTGAATTTTGAAGCAAGTTTAAAATCTGTGCAAGCAAATAGCCAATAAATCAATGTGTGTTCTTCCTAATCTACATGTAATCTTAGTCAAATTCAACCTTTCACATGGGACATCTAATGCTAATTTACATGTACATGTATCTAATTTCACATTTTATCAAGCATGAGTAGATTTTTAACAAACAAAAAAAATGGAATTGGCCCCTACGTTCTTATGGAGGTTCAGTGACATCATCTTTCCTAATTTAATACCCAATAGTATGAATCAGTAGCACTCATTTCTTTAATGCAATCAAAGTATCGTTAATATTTTTTTTAGAGTTTGCAAAAGCTATTCAAAATCAGATTGTCTACAATACAAAGAATGCAAAACATGTAATATCATAGGATGTATTTGATAAACAATGAATGATATTTTTTCATTTCATGTTCTAATTTTAATTCACTTTTTTCTATTTTGTTGTGACAGAGACAGCATGGCTGAATATATTCACCATCTCCGCCAGCTTGATCGGAACATTGATAGGCAGACCTCAGAGAGGCCTTCGTGACCCATGAACCCTTTTGAAGTGTATGATGATGAGTCATTTCGGACCAGGTACTGGTTTTCCAAAGAGACAGCGCTCTACCTCATCAACTTGGTGGATGAAGAGCTGAGGAGGATGACAGACAGAAACGACCCAATACCTATACAGGTAGTGACAGCACTTTGATTATATGCTGTTGGTGAGTAATTTACCTTATTTAGTATTTAGTAAATTTCTATTTAATCTGGGCTGAGCGAAAAAGTAAAAGGGTAAAATTGCGGTTACCATGTTTTGCGGGAGGTTTTTTCATAAACCGGGAGATTCTACATCAAAGCGGGAGGAAGGGCGTGGTGGCGTGAGACTCCCTCTAAATGCAAGAGGGTTGACAGCCCTGATTTAATAAAAAATCTATTCTACAATTTTAAGGACTTTAAACATTTCTCAGTTTGAGAATTTGATCTGGCCATGTAACTTGTAACAAATTGTACTAGTTGATATTTCACTAAAAGGATTTTTAAAATTTTTATACAGGGTCATTCCAAAAGATGCATGGTAATGAGGCACAACTTTCAGTCTTCTGTATGCAGAGTCATCAAAGACGTGTCAGAAGTGTTTGCAAGAAGAAGGAAACAATTCATGAAGTTCCCAACATCAAGAGAAGAAGTAGAAGCAACACAGCAGCAGTTCTACCAATACTGCAGGTTGCCAGGTTTTCTAGGTGCAATTGTTAGGACTCATGTCTACATCAGGAGTCCTGGTGGAGATCAAGCCCTGTATTTTATTAATAGGAAGAACAGATACTCTATTAATGAAATGAAAATTTTCCCTTTTTTGGAGATGCTCCCCATTTACTTTTAATCCAATTAATTAAATGACCGATATGGAATTGGTTCCCCCCTTTAGTTTCTCTGAACGAAACGTACACCCATGCAGTACTGTGGTCTGAAACAATTAGACCGTATGATTTGAAATCTAATGGTTGATATAGTTCCTCCCAAAAACATTTTTGCAAAAGGTACCAACCACTTTGAAAGGGAAATCGTCGTCATCTTCATCATCATCAACATCATCACTGAAATCGTTATTTGACTGCTTCATCACCGTCACCACCGACAACATTGCTGTCATCATTATCATCACTGACATCATTATCGACTTCAACATTGTCTTCGTCAATAACCTTGAATACTTGTTTTGATTATCCATATTAAATCGTCAATATTCAAATATAAATTTCTCTTGTTTGATGGTGTGGTTTTTCTCGTGAAATCATTAAGTTAGGATGTAAACGTGAACGTAAAAGTGAATGACCTACTTTGTTTATCTTGTTTAATTATTAATATACCATTTGCTGTTATCTATTACTTATAATTACCCAGTACACACCATGAATTAAAATGGATTCAGTATGTTTCGCTAAATCCAAACACCCACAGAGAGAGAGCAAAAGATAAAGAGAGAGATGAAGAAAGAAGGAGAAAGGGTATGTGTGAGAGAGAGAGGTGGAGAAAAAAGAGAAAGAAAAGGGGTACCAGTGGGATTTAAAAAATGGGAGTTCTAACGAAATAAAAAGCTATTGAGAGAGGTGGGGTGGAGAGCTGGTGAAAAAAGAGAGACAACAAACAAAAACAAGGAAGGTGAAAGAGTGAGAAGTAGAGACAAAATTTACAAAAAGGTTCTTTTCTTTTTGTTTAAATCACTATTCCCTTGAGAAATTCAATAAAGCAGAAAAATTAAGAAGAAAAAAAATGAACGCCCCCCTAAGAAAAGAATTAATACAGCAAATAAACAAATTCAGAAAAAATTAATGCCCCCCCCCAAAAAAAAAAACAATTAATGCCCCCTCCCCCCCCTAAGAAAAATTAAAAACAAAATTACCCCCACCCCCAGTAAAGCCCCACCCCCTAAGAAAACAATTAATGCCCCCTCTCCCCTATGCAAAATTAAGAACAAAATTAACCCCCCTCCCCCTTCAAAAAAAAAAACCCATCCCCTAAGAAAACAATTAATGTACCCTCCCCCCCCCCCCCCCCCGAATTAGGCCTAATAATTCTTTATCACATGTCAAGACTGCCTTGTTTTTGCTGTCCTCCTATTTTATATGACCAGTAAGCCCGGTTTTTTTTTCTCAATACATCTATGCATTATTTTTATGCATTAATGCCAGTATTTTCTATCAGATAGTATTTATCGTAACCTTTCAGCCCTTTCTTTCTACATCAACACATTCTGGACTAAACGTCATCGCTTTCGCTGCCTCTACGGAGTCTACACTATATATAACACGAGTCTACTCTTACTTCGGATTGATTAATTGCTAAACTACTTTAAAAGTGTGACCTACGCTCTAAAATCATCATAACAATCAACGAAAATGTGATCATATAGCTTTAAAATGAACACTACATCATAGAAAATTTTCACTCTGGTATAAGGGTCGTTTACAGAAGTTTTTTGTGGACTCTTCCACGAAAACTGTCGATGTTTAGTGTGTTGTGATGACCAGCTGATCATAATTATGTCGGACGATTATAGGCCATAAATTAACAACGATAGTGAGGAATTATTGAGGTAATTTATGCGAAATTCGGTAATATTTTGAGGACATCTGTCAGAGAACTGTTTTAGTATGTGAATAGTGGTTTAAAGTCTTATCTCAACTTAGAATCGGTCGGTTTTCAGTCTCTGCTTGTAGGCGAAGAGTATAGCCCAAATACAACTGAATCTGGACTTAGCAGACGACGGTGAACTAGGTGGAGTAACCAAGTGTACTGAGCGCGCATGCTCAGTTTAATGCTTCAATTATGCGCATGCTCAGTTTATTTTTTTGGTCTCTTAGGCATGCTTAAACCGTGGGTTAAACCGTGGGTTAGATTTAGACCATGGGTTATTTAACCCACGCTTTGTGAATACCGAGCGAGGTTTAAACCGTGGGTTAGATTTAGCCTGGGCTAAATAACCCAGGGTTAGATTTAGCCTGGGTTAAATCTAAACCTCCTTTGTGAATTCGGGCCATTGAGTCTCGTCCATTCTCCTCTATTGCGTTTTGCTTTTGCCCTCTTCATGTCATCAGCAATGTCGAAAGTCTGATTTGAGATCCATGGTTGTTTCCGCTTCCTTTTCTTTGAGATGTGATTCTTTGCTGGATTTTAAACTGTTTCGATCTGTAGTGAAGTTCGCCAATTCTTTTTGACCATGATGTAGTCTATCTGGTTTCTGGCTCTGTCTCCCGGTCTCATCCACGTCCACAGTCTTCTGGGATGATACTCAAACCACGTGTTACCAATGATGAAGCTGTTTGCTACACAAAATTCTTTCAGTCGATCTCCTCTTTCATTTCTGATGCCAAGACCATAATTGCCAATGAACTCAGATTTTCCCCTCGTTTTACCAATAATAATAATAATACATGAGATTTGTATAGCGCCATTATCCATTTTAATTAAATGCTCAAGGCGCTTCAAAATATTAGGGAACACATTATATCATGACAAAGAATCGTGTACATTTACATAAGAAAGAAAATGCAAAAATGAAAGAATGAATGTCTGTCTTCAAAACGCAAAATTAAACAAATGAGATTTAAGGTTGAAGAGTCAGAGTTCTTCAGCTTCTGTGGAAGTGAATTCCACAGGGCTGGTCCGGCATGAGCAAAAGCTCGTTCCCCCAAGATTTCTTTGAAAGCGGTATGTGTAGAAGACTAGAGTTGGAAGATCTGAGGGTACGTGTGGGTTGGTAGAGGTGAACTAAAGACTGGTTGTATTCAGGAGCTGTTCTGTTCATGATTTGATGAACTAAAAGAAGGATTTTGAAAATTATACGTTCTTTTACAGGCAACCAATGGAGATTTTGTAAGATAGGTGTAATGTGACTATGTTTGCTTGACAGAGAAATCATGCGTGCAGCTGCGTTTTGTAGTTTTTGGCAATCTTGGTATTCCAGTCACCCAATATCATGAGGAAATCTTTCTTAGGAATGCTGTCTACGACATCTTGTACCATCTCATAGAAATCAGTGATTTCTTCCTCCGGTGCATCTGCTGTTGGTGCATATACCTGAATTATGGAGATATCATAGGATGCCCTTGCAATCTCACAGTCATAATCCTCTCGTTGATCGGGTTGTACCCAAGACACATTTAGCTGTAGCCTTCTCTATGATGAATCCCACACCCCTTCGCTTCCTTCCACTTTCTTTCCCTGAAAAGATGATTGTATTTCCTTCGTCTGATGTAAATCTGCCTTGTCCAAGCCACCATGATTCAGATATTCCCAAAACTTTAATATCATTTATAGCCATCTCCTTCTCCACCATTTCCACCTTCCCATCTGACATACCACGCACGTTCCACGTGGCTACATTGATTGCTTACTTTGGAGGGGTGCTGTTCCTTTTCATCATGGGACCTTCAAGAAAAGAACTTCCTACAAGAGGCTTTGATCCTGATCCGTCATCACCTGCAAGCGTACTACGATCAGTACCTCTCTATTCCGCACTAGCTCTTGACGTATCTTCTGGCCTGCGGGTTCCACCTTCCGATAACCACTTGATGTGTTGATTTTGTACTCTCATGATGACAAACGTAACCAATTAATAATGATGGGCGGCCAGATCCTTCCATCGCAGTACAGAAGCCAGAAGCATTGATGCCGACCTGACCTCTGCTCCCCCGTAGCCACCGTTGTCCAAGATTTGGATCCTCCGCCAACTACAGGTTCTGCATCGCTGCTGCCCGGTGCAGGACAGGGTTTATTTGAAGGCGACCCAGCCCGCCTTGTCATGTTCTCGTTATAGGGTTATGAGAGTTTTTCTAAAGCTAACAGCGTCGCCTATTAGCTCCTCTCCTCTGGTAAGAACAGCGGGATCAGACTAGCACCCCGCTGGAACCCAGCCAGTATTTCTACGGTCTCGGTAATGATGGTCAGAGAAGCACATTTGATGCCGCATTTGTGTCACTGGCAGGTAATCTTGAGAAAATATTTATCGGCGAATCAGCCAGCCGACGAACGGCGAATGAGCGGGGTGTGGGGGGGGGGGGGGGGGGGGGGGTTCAGGGGGCAGTTTTTACCGGTTTGGTACGCTAGAGGGGGGGGGGTGGGGGGCCGGGCCGGTAGAATCGGCCCGTGGATCCGCGCCTGAAATTCTGTCCCACATTTTTGGGAACAGAGTTTAAAAATGAAATTAAACAGATCTTTCACTTGGTAGCCTGACAGGGATTCTTTTCATTTTACCAATAACCGAGGGGCACATAAGATCTCATAACTGTGAAAAACACGTATTCTTTAAATGGTGAGGGTGACTGACAAACATTTCCCCTAATTTTGTCGTAAAATCATCAAATAAGTCGAAAAATCAACAAACAACGACAACCCCCACCAATAAAAGGGTACCAAGACTAACATTCCCATATAAACTTAGCGAAATGATGTGAGCTATGATGACATGGTCGAACACAACAGTATCTTGATATTATTTTGCAATTTCAACCGCCCACATTCCATTCTCAGAATAAACTATCGAATATCAATACACATAAAGCATAGATGAGGGAAATAAAATATTGTGACCTGATGTTTCCTATTTGAAAATATATGTCTTGGATGAATGTTCTTTAATGTTCACGTAAAGCTATGGTCACAACCCCAAAAAGTAGCCTGCTTGGCGGCCGGGCGGCGAGTTTTTGGCCAATTTCGCTCGGGCTCCAGGCGGCGCGCCCGGGCACTGCTTGTTTTTAGGGCATCGCTCGATCGCCGCTGAAGTTTTAGCGCGGAGTAAATAATTTTTGGCGGCGTCTGCTCACTTTTCACTCGCCGCCCAAAGTACGCTAGGTGGCTGGGCGGTCGTCACCCGGGCACCAACCTAATCGAGCGTTCGCCGTCGAGCGATTTAGGTCAAAAATCGAAGCCGCTAGGTCAAAGGCGAGTTCGACATTGGTCGGCAGCCTTTGATCTAGCGGCTTCGATTTTTGACCTAAATCACTCAACGGTGACCGCTCGACAAGGTCGGTTTCCAGGCGGCGACCGCACGGGCACCGTGTGTATTTTGTTGCCCCGCCGATTACCGGCCGACCGGTCGCCGGGCAATAAGGGGTTTTCGTGAATTTGGTAAATCTCCGAGTTACCATGGAAACAATGTTTAAATCGCTGTTTTGAGCAAGATATTTTTAAAATTTGGGGGAGAAAAACCTGCTCTTTTATATGACACATAATGACACCTAACTTATTGAGTATCACCTTCAATATCTGTAAACTCCCTTATTTCACTGCCGGGACGCCGCCCGGAGAAACTTCCCGATTTAGCCCTGTTGTGACCCAGATTGCTCCGGTTGTCTCATTTTCGCTCGCTGGACCATTGCCAGCACAAACGTAGCTACTTCGCCGTCACTTCTAAACTAGCATGTTCCACTATGTTGCAGGGTGTATATGCCATTGGGTATGATGTGTGAACCGGGTGTGCGTAAATGGTGTGTTGGGGAGAGGGAAGTGAGAGTGTTCATGTGTGTGGTAATTGCATGTGTGTCAACAATTCAAGACTAATACATGACAGATGGCTAATCATAAATCTACAATGACGAGTAACCTGTGTACATCACAGTCCACAGATAAATTTGCCTTGAACGTATATAGCAGACGGCAATCGGCGGATCAGACGACACTTGATAGTGATTTTGTATGTGAGATTACTTTGCTAAATACAAAAATCTATTCCATATTTTAAACTATCATGGATATCTGATAATTAAACAGTAAGTAAAATAAACCTACCAAACTACACAATACAATTAAATACTTGACTGAAAGTAGGGGAGTTTGATGTGGTGCACAATTGCACCCCTCTGTAAATAATCGAATAGTCCATGGCGTTCATGAATATTCATGTATTTGCTTACCTCGGCAAAATGCTTGCCTATACTAAATGGAAAAATTACGGTGGGGGGTTGGCTGAAATGGACATAATGAACAAATCAGAACTGATCTATGATAATTCATGCTTGTTATCCTTCGTGTGCTTGACCTATAACCTTACACTCGCGTGGCAAATTGAGTCAAAATTTCGACTTGTTGCACATGTGTTATATATGCAATGGCGAGCTTGATCAATCTCAAGCTTTTGATCAAATTACGGTGGGTGAACTTTCAAAAATCAATGGGACATGAGGGTTCCAATGAAAGAGCTAGTGATAACGTACGTCGGGGGTGGATGTGCTTTTCGTTTAAACAGAAAAACAAAAACAAAAGAATTTTTAACGATTTTTTGGGGGTTAAATTCCATAGGCTAACATGTTAGGCTGCTGGACTCTGCCGATAGGGGGCGTTGTCAAATGAGACTAAACAGAGCTATATGTAAAATCGACCGGCGACCGACGGGAGATTGACAGGGCACAGCCCAGTCATCGCGGGGGCTGTACAGCTTTCTTGACTTCTCAAAAAAACGTTGGGTGATGCCTAAATTTCAGCGGCGACCGAACAGGCTACAAATCTGTCGGTCGGCGCTCTTAGTTGCGACCATAGCTTTAGGCAACAAATGGTAAAAGACAAACCGATAAGTAAAAGGCATGCTACCGATAGAGGGAGGAACACGTCATAATAGGCTCGTTTTCTGAAGGTTCGTTTATTAGGCCGACATCCTACGAGACCAGCACTGAGGGTCTAAAGTGCTGTTGGTCTAGCGAACACTCTAGAGAGCCCACGAGGCCGTTAATGTTGGTCTCACGGGCTTGTAGCCCGGTCTGTAACTCTAGAGACACTCGTGTTTCCAATGGTTCATCATTCCGAAGATTAGTATTTAAATGCCAAAATATGATTTTATCATACCAGATGTTTCATACTTTTGAAGAAGACATAGTTGAGTCGTTCCAAAGGTTCGTTTAACCGACGGTTCATAATTCCGAGAGTTTCATAGTGTTTAGTTTCCATGGACATATCCATCTCTGAATAGAGCTCGAGACATTATAGGATAAATGGAGAGAGAAAGAGAGGGAAATAGAGAGAGAGTAAGTGAAGAAGAGACAGACTGAAAGAGGGAGAAAATAAAGATGTATAAGAGATAGAGAGAGAGAGAAAGAGAGATTTCAGATGAATAGATGTTGTCCGATTTCTCACTGACCGACCAATGCCAAACACACAGTTCTAAAATTAGGATGATATAGTAACCTGTTGTTGTTGTTTGTCTTTTTTTCTTGGTTTTGTTTATCTATAATCTCGGTTTCTACTCATACTATATTTATCATCATATTGTATAATGATATATTTGAAATACAAGTGTTTCATTTTGATTTGTATTATATATGAGATGTTTTAACCAGATTAAAACAAACACAAATTTTGTTGTTGTTGAAATTTCGTAATCTGAATTTGATTTCGAAGGCGGTACAAAAGGGTAGGACAACTGGGATTGCCATTGAATCTATATAATTCTTGAAATTCATTGCGAGATTGTTATGCCTAGATAATAAAAGGGTTCCTGACTGCTTTATTTGAGGCTGCGTTTGATTTTGTCGGTATATTGATCAATTTGTATAATGAAAAGAGGCCAGTGAGCTCTGTAAAATTAACCATCTACATGTAGATCAATCCCAAGTTGTAACTCTGTAGAAAAATAAACAGGTAATCAAGATTTAAAGATGTCGCCTTCGTATTTATTGGAGCATGACCCCGCATAGATGGAGAGACATGACATGAATTGACTAAGAAACATACTTTTATTATAAAAAAATCTCCATAAGCAAATAAGATTGATCTAAAGCAAGCTACTTCCCGTCAACCATTACGGGCAAAACTAGGTACACCTCCACACATTTTGAATTATAAAGGCAATGTCTGTTTAATTAATTAAATTCAATTAAAGTAAATTCTTATTATTCACATGTACATTAAACGATCAATATGTTTCGTTTCACACTTCTGTAAAAAATGAAAGCTAATTTGTTTCAGAAAATTCAGGTTTATAGCAACAGAACTATTCTTTCCTAAATGAAAAGAAAATCTACCATGAAATTCAATAAACATTAACAACATTTAGAGAACCATCGACAAGCGAGGCCTAATTTTATCAGAAACTTTATCACTGTTGTGTATAAAAACTGAGGTTTGCACTCTATCACTGGTATGTGTCTGAAACTAAGGTTGACATTTTATCACTATTGTGTGTATGAAACTAAGGTTTACACTTTATTACCGGTATGTGTATGAAACTATAATGTACATTTTATCACAGTCTGTCGTGTGTATGAAACTAAGGTTCACACTTTATCACTTGTGTGTGTATGAAACTAAGGTGTATATTTTATCACTGTTGTGTGTATGAAACTAAGATGTTCTAAAAGCATAACAAGAACTTACAACTGTGTCAAACTATACACAAGGAACAAACATTTATTAGTAGGACTTCAGATAGTACAAACAGCGCATGTAATTTCGTAACCGTCGATGTAGGGTCCACAATCCAAGCCCCCACCCGCCAGACACCGGACTTCTGTCATGAACAACAACCCACCTCCTTGATTCCCCTGGGTCCCCGCTTTAGGAACCATCTCTCGGTCCACACACACGAATTCCGATCTCTTGGTTGTGTATTTCTCTGCCATAAGATAACCAGCGTACTCTAAACGCCATTCTTGAGAAGGACACACGTTGCGGGCAGGAATCATAAGTTTGCTGGTGCGGCCAGAGGGCGCCCTGCAGACTGCACAGGTCGGAGTCTGGTCATGCATTGGTTGCATGCGTGAAGGACCAGTATTGAGTTGGTATTCAGTAGAGAAAAGTAGGGCTCGATCAGCGTGTGTGGAAGTTTCTACTTCGTCATATATAGGCTCTTCTGGCATGCAGAGATGATTTGAGCCGCTACCAGTATGACCGTAGTGTGCACCTCCAATAGAACCTGAATAAATCACAAAGCAATGTAACACAAAGGTAAACCCACTTTAGTTCAAATTCATTAGAAACTAATTTCAGACTGATGTGGGACCACTGCAGGCAACTCCGAAATGCAAACCATGTGATCTACTGCCTGATGACATAATCTACGACACGGCATCTGAATTTTGCACTTGGGCTAATCCTCATGGTTGGTAATGGGATTACGTACTTATATAGGTCATCAATTTTGTCAAAAAATTAGCACAGCGGGTACGTCACCGGAATGTGGATGACATGGTTTGTGTTTCGAGTCCCGCCATTAGTATTCCTTGGCGATACATTAATCTACATATGTCACTCTCTATTCAGGTGAAGTAAACGGGTACCTGGAAAGAATTAATTATTTCAAACATTCTTAAATGTTTTAAGAGACTTATGGCAGCGAATATAGATGACTTCAGGAAAATTATATTACTTGTAGGCCCCTTGAGCATCCCATAGGATTATTATTTGCGCAATATAATTGTATATATTATTATCTTAGCTGTTATAGCTATTGTAGTTATTGCTATCCTAACATTAGTGATTGTTTATGATCTCTTTGTTATTGCATGACATTCACTTTACATTTTTGTTTAATCTTGCATATATTGTATAAAGAAGGGTCAGACATTACTATAACTCAAAGAAGTTTGCGTATTATGTGCATTCACTTATCCCCACCGTATCTTGTGCACTTTAATTTCCGCCAGTGATGCTATTGAAGGCATGAGTTTCGTTTGTCGCGATGAAGAACTTTTTGTTGCACAAAATACGATGAATTATAGGTGACAGCATACAATTAAACAAGATTCCAAGGACTTTCGAAAAATGAACTCGAGGATATTTCATACCGTATTGTGTATTCAATCATGTTTAAATACTTATGTTAAAGTGTTTGCACGTTTCAATATGACAGACGCACAAATACTATTGAAATTACATGAGCTGGATTTTCGGAAAGTCCTTGCAATCATGGAAAAAACATGTGCAGAGTTTTCCTTCATGTGATATTGCCTGTCTGTTCCAACCTGAATAGATGAGTTCTGCATCTTCGGGACATACATCGTTGCCCCAGCGAGTATAGATGACACCAGGGAGACTTGTAATGTTACCTACTGCAGGCACTACCGTATCACCAGTGGTTTTTTTTCGTCGCTGGGTGAAGTGGGTGTTTCTTGAGCTACAATTTTAAACATTCAGAAGTTTTATTGGAATCCATAGAGACAAAATTCAATTGTATTCCAGACGTTTGGATATCTATATTCGTAGTATTGGAATGCCATCATTAGTGGTAAATTCAATCGAGATTATAAAAAACAGGATTCAGCCTGTGTGTACTTGATCGTTGTATGAAGGGTGTTTCCTCAGCTAAAATGTTACACATTTAGGATTTTTATATCTTATTTTATAACCGATATTATCCAATGTGGCTTATCAAATAAAGCCAAAAAAGCTACAAACATATTTTTGTGTAACTTGCCCGGCTTATATTATGTTCTCATCATTATTAATGACTAATTTACACGTTTGCCTCTTTAAGCGGCAGCTGTTATTACATTAGAATGTGAAAACCACACACCATCGAGTGACCTCCCACTATCCATCTCCATATTGTATTTTTTGATATAGGCTTATACAGCGTGAGTCCAAAAAAAGTTTACACCTAGAATATTGCTAATTATTTCAAAAATCATCTATGAACAGTAAATTATTATACATCTTATGAAAAAGCGTTTTATCCCAAATCATTTGGTACCATTTTTGTGTGGTATGTATTCACACTTGGATCAACAGGAGGCACTGTTTGCGAGAGTGCAAAAATCGACTTGCGCTAAAGTTGCTTATGTGATGTTTGAATAAAACAATTGGGGTTTGGGTATTAATTTGGTCTTTGCAGATCCAAATAACATCCCTAACAAAATTAATCTTGCCACACATATCAAATAACGAATATCAAATATCAACGAACATTTATGCGCGTGTGTGTGTGTGTGGGTGTGTGTGACTTTGCCCTTTGCAAAAAGCATATGTAATGCATTTCATTTGATACATTCAATTCACTCTCTCACTCCGCTAATCCCAACATAATACATACTATAGGCATCACTTTGGCGCATGTCGATGTTTGCACTCTCACAAACAATGCCTCCTGTTCATCCAAGCGTGAACACATACCACACAGAAATGATACCAAATGATGTGGGATAAAACACTCTTCCATGAGATGTATAATAATTTACTGTTCACAGATGATTTTTAAAATAATCAGCAATTTTCTAGGTGTAAACTTTTTTGACTCACACGGTACAGGTAGTATCTATTTATTGTGTAAATTTTCAAAGACAACAGGGAGTTACAATATTCGTGTTTTCAAATATCTTGAATTTTATTTCGCTAGCTCTGCATTCTCCGGTTTATGAATGTTATACAAGTTCTGCGTGCGTGCCATATCGTGTCAGATGTATGTTGTTATAGGTCTACCTTGTGGAATCGTCGACGCATCCCGTCCGTCTCTGCCATCCCTTCCGGCAACCCCTTGTGGTCCTGGGGGACCTATTCGTCCAGGAACACCAGCAGGACACAAGAAACATTGACCTAAAGAAGAAACAGCATATATTTATATGTCGTATCAAGTAAAATAGCTCTTTCTGAAGGTTACTCTCAACCTGGATGATAATGACCTACGTCATACGTTCCATTGATAAATTTCTTATTCTTCTACTTGACTCATAGATATTTTAGTTTCAAATGTTGATATCTCCTTTGTTCGGACTTTCAATGCATGGACTTTACGTGGTCAACATGACCTATGGCTCTGGAAGTTCGTTTTGGTATTGAGGCTCTCTTATGTTTCTCTTTTCTTCTAGTTAACGCATCTGTTAGCCTCAACAGTGTTTCTATCTTCATGAAGTTAACCGGTACTGTCCTAATGCCACTAATGCAGTGGTTTCCGATTAGATTTTCGAAATGTTGAGGCCTCAAGGCCTGCCAGGTGTCCAATGCCCATTGCAAAAGATACATTATTTGCTGATGTATACGCAATCGACTTACGGGGTCTAGTATTTTTTGGCATGCCTAGGTGAGAGTATCATCATTCGCAAGGTTAATGAAACGTGAACATTAGATTTCTTGGCGCACGAACTAATTTTTCTACATAGTTGAGCCTTTGTGTGCGATAGGCATTAGAGAAATAAGAAACGTCTGGTCTCTGTTTCTTAAGACTTGTTATCAATAAATACTTACAATAACTATCATAAGCTATACTGAAATCATTGCATTTGATTTGCCGAGAGGAAATTTGTCATATAATCTTAGCATCTGTTATCGAATTTTAAGAACCTTGGACATGGTGTTCATACCAGAATACATAGGCCATGAGTATGGTCCGAATGGGTTCTGACCCAGGCTTGGCTGCTCGGCGCCTGATGATGTGACCGATGTCGGGACAGTCGATGGCGAGTCGACTTGCCTTCGACGTCGTGTCTTTTCAGGTTCTCTCAGCTCAAACTCGGTCCCGACAGAGTCAGGAATGTGAATCTTGGCCATCATTGATGGATTCTTCGCGACGAGCTCGAGAGTTGAGAAGGAACGAGTGATCTCAGCAACGGATTCCTACATGATTTTGTAGTTGAAAAGTTAAGATACATTAAAAAAAAATTATTAATACGTACCCTCGATATTATTTTCTTTTATTAAGGCAGTGTTGATATTGAATTGTTTTCTGGTTTTGCCTTCCAACCCTACGACAAGTTGCCAGTAGACTATAGGCATTTTGGCCACAAACAAGTTTATTAATTGTCCGCCTTCGAGTAGTATTAGTATATTTTGAAGATTTTAATCATTCATAAAAAGATGAACTAAAAGGTGATCTGAAAGTGAAGTATAAAATTACACTGTTTTAGTATAAATTAATCTCTATAATCCGTTAAAATGAAATTAATATGTGCAAGAATAAATAGAGAAATATATGTGTATAGAAGTTGGCGTTGTATGCCTTGTGTCGACTAACAACTCTCAAATCATGTGTAATGAAAATAGGCCTACACGAAAGAAAAATTGATACAGGTCAAAACGTTTTTTTACACACAAAAAAAAGAGAGAGAGTTGTCCCACATGAAGTCACTATGATTTACTTTAACCATCCATCCAGGCAAATAAGATTCTCACTCGTTGAGTCGTGAAACGAAAATGAGAAATTCATTCCTTGATGATATTGATTTTCCTTTTCCATTTTGGTTTCTGAAATATTTGAAAGGTTGACGCTTGGTGTTCGGTACATTAGTGGACTATTAAACTCGACTCACTTATGCGCATAACAAACAACGCATCGCGTACACGACGCAGTCGACAGGCGCCTTTGGAGGTGGCGTTACTTAATGCAAAATTAACAGTTAACACATTATGTTGAATTCGCTAAAATCATTGCCTTCACAGTTTTAATTAGCTGGGGTAATTGGCGATCGGGGTGTTATCTATCCCAGAACTTATCTATTTACAAAGAGTGGAGACAGTGGAGGTCGCTTCTGATTGGTCAATTATTTCATGGAGCATCGAATAGTTCCCTCCCATAGTATTAGACTAGCAAACCATCAAAAAGGGCCTTGAAATAGGATTCCATGTTTTTTTTTGTTTTTTGTTGTTGTTGTTGTTGTTGTTGTTGTTGTTTTTTTTTTGGGGGGGGGGGTTTAATACATAGCATCCTTGCTTAGGATCTTGCAAAAATACTAGACAATAACATGTAGGGGTGGATTCCACGCGCCATATTTACTTTAAAATATCACTATTTGCTGATGAGTACTCGTCGCAGCCTGTCTCCCCAACAATGATCGTGTATTTGTCTTTGTATGTATAATGGGCCCTCATCCATGATCAAAATTAAAGGTTTTCTTCACGTTATTAGATATATATTTATGTTGTCTTGCTGAAGTAAAATATGCTTTCTTGTACAGTAATTTATTTCGAATAGAAAATGCCTTCAAGTTGTATGTATTAAGGTGTCATGTCAAAAGAAAATAGATACCCGCTCTTAGTTACATTCATCTCATTTAATTTTGTTACTACAGAACAGCGGAAACCGTTAATTTTGTGAAAACAAAAATCAGAAATGGTTAGAGTATTGTAATTACATGAGAAAAGAAAATGTTAAAGCTAATAAGGTGTTTTTCTTCCTCGCTCGCTGACAATATTTTGACAGCTAGGCCGCGCCCGAGTATATATTATCTTTTATTTCAAAATTACTTTGTTACCACACTCATTACATTTAGAAACATGATGAATAAGGGCAACGAGAAGCCCAAATAGCCTCATATTCGTGTATCAAGGTCGTGACCGAATGTATCATTTGTATTCATGTACATATGGCGGCGAGGTGCCCGCATACAGTATTTTAAATCATTTGTTAGTGTGTTGAATTTTATGTTTACCCCTTTGGAAATGTCTTTTCTTTTTTTATTCTTGCTCTTTCGTTAAATAACGAAACAAATGTGCCCACACATGTATACATAGCACTTGACAAGTGCCAGAGTAATGCAAAATAAATAATCTGTGAAGAATTTGGGATTGGGAGAAACTTTCCATTTCCTAGGAGGGTACCGTGACTAACAAAAAGTTGAAATAACGCTGCTCCAGCAAAATGTATTTCCATGCATTTTGATATGCGCAGGACATTTACCTAAAACTTACATCCTGCGTGGAAAACAGCAACCGGTAGTGGTGTTGCATAAATTATAATCAAAGGGAAATGTGTAGTAATGAGGAAGATAACGTGCTATGGTATTTGAACAAATGTTGGTTCATGCATGGGATTTTATGGGCTCGTAGCCATCTCTCAATGTGTCAGATTTTTTTCTTCTATTGAATCCTGATTGTCCACGGGGAGGTAGTTTTCCTGGTGGGGGGGGGGGGGGTAGTTGACCTCGGGGAAAATGTCCTCGTTGGGTTATTGTCCTCGGGGGGTAGTTGTCCTCGGGGATAATTCCCCGGGGAGTAATTTTCCGGGGGGTAATTTTCCTTGGCGGTAGTTTTCCGGGGGTAATTTTCCGGGGGTGATTGCCTTAGAACCTCTTTACCCCATCTTTTGTCCACTTCAGGCATGGTGTTATATTTTCACTTCATTTTGTTCTTGTACTCTTTTAACGCCTTTAACTTTATCTTCCCTTTCTTCTCCCTCTTTTACTTCTCCTTCTTTTCCCTCATCTTTTTCTTCTTCTTTTTCTTCGTCTTCCTCTTTTTTTTCTTTATCGTCTTCTTCTTCTTTTTTCCCATTTTCCCCCTCCATTTTCGCTCCCTATTGCTTGTTTCTATACCTTTTTCCCCTCTCAGCCTTTACTCTTTCTCTTTAAATCTCTCCCACTTTTAATTTTGATAATTAACTTTGTATTTGCAAACTTTTCTCCTCACTATTTTCTACACTTTTACTGCTTTAAACTTCAGTCCTTTTTTCTTTCACATGACTTCAGTATACGTTACTTTATGCTTATTCTGATTTCTGTTTAATTGGTGTTTCCAATTGTTGCATTAAGTTATGTTTCTCTTATTTATACTGATTTATTTTTCAGATTCAATGTATCATGATTTTTTTTTTTGTATATTACATTATGTGTTATTAATTTTCTTTGTTAACTTTAGTCATATTGCTCCGGTTGTCTCATTTTTGTATGCGAGATCACTTTGCTAAATATAGAATACAAGAATCTTTTCCATATCTTTAAACTATCATTGATATCTGATAATTAAACAGTAAGTAAAATAAACCTACCAAACTACATAATACAATGAAATACTTGACTGAAAGTAGGGGAGTTTGATGTGGTGCACAATTGCACCCCTCTGCTAATAATCGAATAGTCCATAGTGTTCATGAATATTCATGTTTTCGCTTACCTCGGCAAAATGCTTGCCTATACTAAATGGGAAAATTACGGCGGGGGGTCGGATGAAATGGACATGATGAACAAATCAGAACTGATCTATGATAATTCATGCTTCTCATCCTTCGTGTGCTTGACTTATAACCTTACAATCGCGTAGTAAATTGAGTCCAAAGTTCGACTTGTTGTACATGTGTTATATAGGCAATGGCGAGCTTGCGAACTTTCAAAAGTCAATGGGACATGAGGGTTCAAATGAAAGAGCAAGTGATAACGTACGTCGGGGTTGATGTGCTTTTCGTTTAAACAAAAATGAATTTTTAACGATTTTGGGGGTAAAAGTCCATAGGCTAACGTACATGTTAGGCTGCTGGACTCTGCCGATAGGGGGCGTCACGGTTCTCAAATGAGACTAAACGGAGCTATATGAATTCGACTAAACGCCGCGATGAAAGTTTTATTCGAAATAAACCATTTTGAAGGAAAGAATGAATGAATAGTGGACTGTGCAAATTCGTGTATTTCTAAACATTCATTTGATATATAAAAATGGGTAAATCAACCATTATAGCCTAATATATCCTGATATGGTCTGCTTTATAGTCTACTTTATATTCTATTCTATTTTCATCTTGTATTCTACCTTAATATGTGTTATTATATATTTTACTTTATGTTCTTTTTCTATATTTTATATTCTGTTTTATTCTCTATTTTATCCTTCTGAATATCTTACTTTATTTCAAAATATATATTCCGATGTTTTTTCTTTTCTCTATATATTGTTTTGAAAACAGTCACAAAACAATAGAAGCAGACTGAATAAGACATAATTCAATTATTGTAAACTGGTTCATGGTTTCAATTTAATCATCCAGTACCAAATAATCAAGCAAAACTCGAGCCAGATGCAAATAAGGGTACATTTAAAGACAATAATTCATGACGTATTATTTATGTCATGATTGTATTCTTTACCTATTTCTTCTTTATATTTTACCTCATTTTCATATATGTATTTAAACATTTCTTCTCCCTCTTGATAATATTTCAGCAACGAATTGGTGGTTTGGGTAGAAATTTTGGATGTAGTATAGCAATAAATCTTGGGTACATGACGTATTGCTAAGGATAATTGTGATAATAATAATAATAAGAAAAATGATAACTATAAGAATAACACCAATAATATTGTGGTACTGCTGATATTACTACTTCTTCCTCTACTACTATTACTACTACTACTATTACTACTACCACCACTACTAGGAAAAATAAGATGAAGAAGAAGGTGAAGATATGATCGAGAAACACACATTCACATTACATACTACGTGGTAAGAGGGAAATAAGCAAGAGAAAAGGAAGGCAATGACAAGTGAAAGAGAGAGAGAGAAAGAGAGAAACAGCCTAGCCCCAAAGTAATAATAATAATACAACGTCGTTACGCGTGAGAATATTCTCTCCGCCAAATAATTCGAACATTAAAAATCCACCAAGTGGAATCAAACTGTTAAACGAATATATCATGAGTGAAATATTGTTTTTTCCTAAAAATTTACCTTGACACATGAAACATGATAGAGCTATGATCGACAAAAATGATGTTGTGTTGAAAACAGGTCAGAAAGCATAAACAACTAGAATGAATAAGACATAATGCAATCATGTAAACAAATTTATTGTTCCATGTTCATCCGCCGGTAGAGGTGTCGTGTCAAACCATTCATTTTTGCAATCATT